GGCGTGCGTAGACCGTGGCGGGCCCCACCCGTCGCTCACGGATCAAATTTCCGGTGTCCGAAATCGAATCTCCTAACTGAAAGATTTTGTCGAATCGGCAAATCCCGAGGGTATTACCCTTCACCATCGAAAGGGTGCAAAAGCATGACAAAATAAGCAGCAAATAAACGGCGGATTTTGCAGTAGCAGCCATACGTGCGCGTAAGTAAACAAATTCTTCAGCAAATAAACGGCGGATTATATGTGTAACTTTTTGTTTCTTACCTTTTAGTATATGGGTTGCGGTCTATTTATAATTATATTTTGATGTCACATAATTTAATCCTAAGCACACATGGATTAGGAGTATAGTCTTAACTCCTAACTCTCAAGGGCGATTGATATTTTAACCTAGCTTCTGATACAAGGATGTTAATTTTAAAAATAAAAAAAAAAAAATATAAAAGCCTTTTATTTAAAATTTTGAAATACTTTTTAAAAGTTTCATTACTATTTTATTACTTTATATTTGTAAGATACTCTTTTTTTTTTTATATATATAGGACTAACAAGTAAAATGTAGGACTAACAAGTAAAAAACTATATATAAAACTACTTAATGAATTTAATATATATAGTAAATGAAAATACATATTTTTAATTATAAAATAAAATCTATATCTATATAAAAAGCTATTCTATTTAGTTAATTTAGTAACAAGAAAAGTCAAATGATAATTAATGCATTCTATTTTTATCATTTTTTCACTTGTCTTATATATATATATATATATATATATATATATATATTATAGCTAAAAAACTGGTCTGTATTAATTTCATCTTTAATTGATGTGTTTTGCAATAAAATCGGACAAATAAACTTCAAATAAAAACATGTCTCATTTCAAATTTTAATTTAAATATTAAAATTTCTTATCATTTTGTCACATTAAAATCTTGAATGAATTGTTTGCCATAAAATCGGATAAAATAATAATTGCATAGAATTCAAGTAAAAACATGTCTCATTTAAAATTTAAATTTTAAAATTCCTTATCATTTTGTTACATTTTCGGATGATTTGTTTCCCATAACATCGGACGGAATTAATAATTGCATAGAATTTAAGTATGATTTCGAATTTATACCAAGGATGTTTAATAAATGCATAGAATTTCAAAGATGTTTATTTATTATAAAATAAATTAAATTTTTAAAAAAATGTGTATATTTTGTAAAATGTTTGTACAAAATGTTTTACTTTAAATTTATTTATATCATTTAAATTAATTACATTAATAAATAATATTAACATATTTTAATTACATAAAACAAAAGAAGAAGACTACAACTATAACCTGTATATATAATAAAAATGACATTATATTACAATAAATTTTATAATAAAATAATATGAGAATTATACGAGGAACAATATTACGTAAAATTGCTATCTATACTTATATTAAAAGGGATCATATTTACTAAATATAGTAGGTAGAAAAGTCAAACTTAATTCATGAACTCCTAATTTTATCAAGTAGTAATTAATGCATTTATAATTTATGCTGACATAAAAAAAAATCCTTTTTATAAATCTTAACATATAAAATTTTGTACGTAAATCTCATAAAAAAATCCTTCTTACAAATTTATGCTGAACTTCTAATTTTTAATCCTTCTTATCTTGATATAAAAAATCTCATAAAATCGGGTGAGCAAAAACAATCAAAATCTATACTTATATAATAAAGTATCCTATTTACCTAATTTAGTAGGTTAAAAATTAATGCATTGTTATTTCTATCCAGAATTTTATTTAATTATTTTATTTATTTGTCTTATTCCCATAAAATCAGTTTAAGAAAAAAATTCTCATAACATTTGATAAGTAAAAAAAAGGACGTAAAATCTTTACTAAAATAAAAAAAAACTTTATTTATTTGTCTTATTCCATATTAACATCGATTTTGTCAAAACAAATCTCATAAAATCGGTGAAGTTAAAATTTGTACGTAAATTCTATCTATACTAAAAAAAAACAGATTCAAAATTCCTTATTTAATTCAATTTTTTCCTTATCTAGTTCCTTCTTATTATCTAATTGTATGAAAATCCATTCTGATTTTGTTCAATTCTCTAATTGTATTTGTATTATATCCCATAAATCGATTTAACACAAAAACCCCCATAACATCCGATAAGTAGAAAAAAGTACGTAAAATCTTTACTATAATAAAAAATGTTTATTTATTATCTAATTCTATAGAAATCAGTTATGATTTTGTTCAAACCGATTTCTGTATATTCAATTCAGATTTTCTAATAAAAATATTAACAACAATATATATCTACTCTACCCATTATAAATTACAAATCTGAAAATATCTAGCCATTATCTTCCTCACTATCAACTCCTGCGAACAAAAAATATCCCCAATCAGTATTTTATTCAAAACAATGAATCAAGGATTTGAGTTAATCAAACAAGTCAATAGGTCTAATAGACCTATGCTCAAAGTTCAAATTGTGAGAATGTTTTTTTCCAAAACTAGGACAGCACATACAAATCATATCTCGAGTTGGTTCTGCATGATAAAATTGTAAGCCAAATTATTTAAATTTTTGTTTAATTTCGAAATTTGAAACATATATATATATATATATTTTTTTTATTTTCGTGTATGTAATTAGATATTTTTGTACATGTTTAGTGAAATATATTTTCAATTTATTTAAATTATATTTTCAGATTTGCAACTTGGTTTATTTATTCTACTTATCGTGTATGTATTTAGATATTTACATTATTTATATTTATTTTCGTGTATTGTAAAATTTTTATTGCATATTGCATCTTATAATACAATAATTCCCAAATAAATATATCACGTGCCTCGCACATGTGACGTTCTATATATATTCCGTATATTTTTCTTTATACATTTATATAATTATAAGGCTGGATAAAAGACTTTAAAATTGTGCACCCCGTGCATCGCACGAGCTCTGTACTAGTTTTTCCTATATCAAAGAATAAATATATATAATGAAATCAAATTTATATTATTATAAACATGTGAGCTGAATAATATATTAATTAATTTATTGACTAGGCTACCAGGCTCAGGTATAATGTCCCGACAAAAAAAAATAAAGTTGATGAAAAGAGGTAAAAAAACTAGATGATCAAACTCTATCATTTTTTAGGCTTGAACGGACAAGCCCTATGGTCCACTCATTTAATATCTCCCGTGAATCGCACGAGCCACTTAAAGGACAAGCTTTATAGAAATGACTCATTTAATATTTTTGTCTCGTGCATCGCACGGGCTACGTACTAGTGAGAAAAAAAATAATATTATAATCAAAACATATATTAAAAAAATGAAAACTTGAGAAAATTAAGAAAATACACAGCCAAACGTCGATGACCAGCACATAAATTCAGTACAAGACAAGATTGAAAACATAGTTTGAAGATAAATTGTTAACCAAGGAGAATATGCAAAAGTACAATAAAATATTTGGGGAGTAAGCACGAACACAAGTCGGTGCACTGTTTTGTAGATTTTTAGAGGAATAGATTTATAACCGAGTTATTCGAATCTCTGGTTGTCTCTCAAGAAAGACTTTTCGGAGAGTTTTCACTTAAAAAAGGAAAGTATAGTCCAAGACATGCTAAACAAATGGGTTTAGGAGATTTTAAACTAATTTAGACTAAGGAATTGAAAAACGATTAACTAAAATGCAAACTTTAATGACCCAAACTTTACTTAACATGGAGAGTTCAAAACCCAAAAAGACAAAAATAAATAGAAACGAACTACAACTAACGGCACTTAGGATGTTTTTTTAAATTAAGCCCATTTTGTATCGCCCGTGCCGTCACGAAAAGATTCGATTGGCCCAACCCTCTTTTCGAGTTTAAATTTCTCCGACAGCTACACTCCAAACGATCCACACACACACACACACACACACACACCAGTATGTGTTAATGTTCTTTTTGCACCTTTTCAATACAACAAAGTAGTATTAATTTATCTTGAGAGAGAGAGCCACAACAACAAAAAGAAAACAAAACAACTCATTTTCTCAAATTTTATGCATTTTCATTGTCTCGACAAACAAGAACATGGTGGTGGTGGTTCTCTTGAAGAAATTAGTCCTATTGTTGGCGGTATTGCCCCTGGCCTCTCCTTTGATCCTGGAAATAAGCGAAAAGACGGTGGCAGAAGAAGTCGAGTCCGAGTGCACGAGCTGGAGGGTTAGTGTTGAGGCCAATAATAATTTGAGTCCTTGGAAGCAAATCCCGAAAGAGATTGGTGAGTATGTGAAACGATACATGAGGCTTAGAGGCTATGCAAATGATGTCGAGAGAGTTTGTAGGGAGGCCAAGATGTATGCAAGGAGTGTTAACTTCAGTGTGGAAGTCAAACTCAAACCCAAATATGCATGGATTTTCGACATCGACGAGACTCTTCTTTCTAATATTCCTTATTATCACCACCATGGTTATGGGTATTTTAACTATTTCCATGGATTTTCAACTAACGGCACTTAGGATCTTTACTTATTTTTTATCCTAGCTTCTGATACAAGGATGTTTTTTTAAAAAAAAATTATAAAAGCCTTATATAAAATTTTGAAATACTTTTTAAAAGTTTCATTACTATTTTATTACTTTATATTTGTAAGATACTTTTTTTTTTCTATATAAATAAATAATATAAAAGCCAAATAAAAAATTGGGTGTCTTATAAATGTAGGACTAACAAGTAACAAACTATATAAAACTACTTAATGAATTTAATATATATAGTAAATGAAAATACATATTTTTAATTATAAAATAAAATGAGAAGAAAAATAATATTATAATCAAAACATATAATAAAAAATGAAAATTTGAGAAAATTAAGAAAATACACAGCCAAACGTCGATGACCAGCACATAACGGCCGTTGGATATGCTAAAATCCAACGAAATATCCTATGGAAATAAATTACCACAACTATTCTAACGGAAATAATCCGTTGGAATTCCTCAACCATTCAACACTTATTCCAACATAAAACTAAGTTTGTTGGAGTATTCATTGGAATTTCTAACGGAAATTTTTGCCGTTGGAATTTTTCAATGGAATTGAAGTGTTTTCTTGTAGTGTGAAGATAAATTGTTAACCAAGGAGAATATGCAAAAGTACAATAAAATATTTTTGGAGTAAGCACGAACACAAGTCGGTGCACTGTTTTGTAGATTTTTAGAGGAATAGATTGATAACCGAGTTATTCGAATCCCTGGTTGTCTCTCAAGGAAGACTTTTCGGAGAGTTTTCACTTAATTAGTCGTCAAGCGCATAAAAAAGGAAAGCTAAAGTCCAAGACATGCTAAACAAATGGTTTGGGAGATTTTTAAACTAATTTAGACTAAGGAATTGAAAAACGATTAATTAAAATGCAAACTTTAATTAAAGACCAAAACTTTACTTAATATGGAGAGTACAAAACCCAAAAAGAACAAAAATAAATAAAAACTAACTACAACTAACGGCACTTAGGAGCTAAAGTCGAACGATTAACTATGAAATCATCGAACTCTAAGACAAAGTTTCAATTTTTCTCTTAAAAGATGCGAACTTTAAACTATCTAAACAATCTAGAAGAGCAAAATAAAACACAAGCTAGTAATTTAACTAGAATCGACCCTAACACGCGAACTTCGAACAAGACACTTAATTTAACTCTAAAACTGAGTAAGTAAAAATAGCGCAAATATCGAGATAACAAGTCCTAAATTAGGTATTTACTTGCCTAATGCATGCTCGATCGAAACAAACAAAAAAAGGTTGAAACTTTAATAAGGAACGCATCGCTGTAAAAAGTCATCGAAAAATAAGAGTTATAACCTCCCTAGAGAGAAAATAAAGAAAAGAGCAATTTCCAAAAGGAAACAAAAAAGCCAAATGAAATATGGCTGTTCAAAATGCAAAGGAGCTAAAGTATTTATACTATACTCAAAGCACATATTAGAAAATTGCACATTTTTCAAGACTACACTCACCCATCTAAGGATTCGAGCGGAAATTCCGCCAGGCGAATGAGGGCTCAACTTGCCTGGGCGAGTGATTCGCCCGATCTCTTGCTGGGCGAGTGTGCCGTATGCTGGTGGATCTCTAGCAGAAGTCTCAGCGCAGGCGGCAAGCGAGCATATTGGTCTCAGGGTTAGGCGAGTTTACTGATATGCGTCATATTTACTTGTATTTTATAGTGATTTTTGCGTCCGTTTCGTCCGATATATAATTTATTATATTTGATTAATTATTAATTAATTAATTAATTATATTTATTAAGCTATGATGAGGTGTTTTATTTGAGTTTTGACAGGAAATAGGTTCGAAATAATTTTTGGAGAGGAAAAAGGCGAGAAACTAACGAGTATTGAATGCAAGTGATTTATTGGAGGAGGCCCAATAATCAGCCTGCAAGAATACTACATGGCAGCCTTATGGAGTCAAGTCTTTAATTAAACCAAGGTGCACAAGGAAATGGGTTGGCCCAAAACCAATTTACGTAATGGCAAAAGTGTGATTTTGATGTGAGACAATGTATGGAACAATGATAACATGCTAGACATGGTACCTGGCTGCTCTGTGGCGTGGTCCTGGTCAAGCGCGTAAATATGGGCAGGTGCTCCACGCTGCTGCTGCTGTCCTAGGGGTCTCGGTGCTGGCTGTCTCGATGCTGGCTGTCTCTGTGCGGGCTATCTCTGGGCTGGCTGTCTCTGGCCCTGCTGTGGCTGAGGGCGGTCTGGGCAGTCTCTGATCAGATGTCCTGGGCGGCGGCAATGGTAACATATGTTCTGCCCAGCTAGACACTCCCCGCGATGCTGACGTCCGCAGGTAGCGCAGGTCGGCTGACCCTGTCGGGTTGGCTGGCCCACTAGAGCTGGGTCCCTCTGTCCACGGTTCCCCTTATCCTTACTATCACCCCACTTCCTCTTATTTTTGTTCTGAGCTGGCTGGGGTGGTGCTGGCTGTCTGGCTGGCGGCTGGTCAATGGCATCCCGCTGGATATACGCCTCAACCTGCTGAGCTCGCTCAACAGTCTCGGCATACTCAAGTTAACCATGACTGGCCACCAGTAATCGAATGTTACCCCTCAACCCTTCAAGGAACTGATGCGCTTTCTTCTCCTCTGTGTCTACGAGGTGCGGAGCGAAGACACTCATACGAGCGAATTTACGCTCGTATTCATCCACCGGTCGCTGGCCCTGCTTCAGGGCAGAAAACTCCCGTACCATCCTCTGACTTAAATGGCAAGGGTAGAACTTATCCTCCATGAGCGTCTTAAGCTGCGACCATCTCATGACCTCACGCTTATCCTCGATGCGGAGACGCCAGTAATCCTCCCACCAATCTCCTGCGACACCCTCGATCTGCAGTTCAGCGCAAGCCATCTTATGCGCCTCAAAAATACCCATAATACGAAAGATCCGCTCCATTTTGCGGATCCACTTGACCACGGCTAGCGGGCCATTCTCCTGTCATCTCATTTCTTCTTCTTCCACGTGAAGTAGCCATCCGCCATGTCTGCCATTGTTGCTCAACCAAGCTCACACCGGACTGCCTCGCCGCTGCTGGACGCAAGGAAAACCGTTCTCCGCCGGGCCAAATCGCCATCGGAGCTCGACCAAACAACCTGAAACCCCTTGTGACGCCAAATCAGCGCGTGGCAGAGAGAGCTGCTGGAACTTCACTTCCATCCCTCGTCGGAGAACTACCTGCACGCCATTTCCGACCACTGGGAGATGGTTGGGGTGATGTAGAGCATACCAGGAGACGAAAGCCACGGCCAAAATGAAGTTTCGTGCTGTATTGAACTCTCAGTTTCACACGGGTCGTGTGAGACCGAGACACGAGTCGTGTCGTTCGACAGGTCGTGAATGGATCTCTCGGCATTAGGCTACACGAGTCGTGTGACCCTGGGCGCGACCAATACGTGCTTTTCCGATTTTTAGAGATTTTTTGACCTATTTCGACTAGGACTCGACCTCAATTATATAAGTAACAGTTGGGCACGTTTTTGAGAGTCTGGGACCTAATTTTCAGATCTTTGGAGAGCTTTGGAAGCTAGAAACACGAGCAAGACGAGGGAGAAAGCTCGGAAAGAAGGGATCGACAGAGCCGAATAAGCTTTTTCTTTCTTTTTTTTTTCTTCTTTCGAACTCAATGTTTTATATTTATTTTGAAAGCATATTTCTAGGCTAGATTTATTTAGATTCTAGGATTTGTTAGTACTCAGATTGATTTATTATTTAGTTTTTATTTACTTCATTCCAGTTTATCTTTCATTTATGAATTTTTTTTGCGTATATTTATTGTGTGAGTAGATGACCACTATGAATGCATATTTGTGATCGATTTGAGACCGAGAGAAGATAATTGATTGCTAGAATTGAGAAATTTATAACGTAGGAGACTAAACAGACCGAGAGGTTGATAGAATCTTACGAGAGAACGAAAATCCTAAGAACTTATGGGAGTTAGTTGTTCATCTTGAGACCGAGAGGAGATAGATAACAATTAATATCTACGATTTGCTTGTTCGAGAGAAAGGTTGAAAGCAATTTAGCGATTATCTCTACGATTGGTAAAATTAAATAAGGTTTGTTTGAATATAAACGTTTCATGAATTAATTCCGAGGAACGCATAGCCTAGAATCTATCTTTTATATCTTGATTTATTTTTATTGTTCTAGATAGATTAGCTTAGTTTAATTTCATAGTTTAAAATCATCATCTCATTCGTTAGCCTAAATAATATTTAATCGTTATTATTTTAGTACTTAATTAATTTAACTACAATCTCTGTGGAATACGAGCTTGCTCGCCACTACCTATAGCTACGCTATTCACTTGCGGATAGCGAAAATAATTAGCGAACATTTACGGGCACGCTAGTCTCGCTCGTCCTGTGCGCTGGATTTTGCACGATCGTGCGGGTCTCTCTCGGGCTGGGCGCGTAGGCATTATGCGGGTCAGCCTTTGGCAACGACACGTGGTCCTCGGCAAACACTAAAACTAGTCGGGCATGGTGGAAATTTCTCGGGTTCCTTTCATTGTTCTCGGAATCCGTGGGGTGCTCCAATGCTCAGAAATGGACAAAGATGATATATGCTAGTTTTAACTCGCACATTCGAAACTCTACTCGATTCCTCCTCTTTGAAAATTCAATTAAATGGACGTACAAAACACCAAAAGACATTGGACGTTACACTAAAACATAAAAAACACAACACATAAGTAAAAACACGCGAAACAAACTAAAGTGAACCGGTTAAACAATCAAGCAAACCTAAAAATGACTCTACTAAACACATAAACACATAAACATAAGCACAGAAATATAACAAACAACTCTCTCACACTTAGTTCTTTGATTGTTCTCAAGCAAACAATATCATTAACTTTTGAAAAGAAAAAAAAAATTATTAATTTAATTGTTTATCACATCCCAAATTACGTCTAACTCAACTTACCCGCAATTTTTATAGTAAAAATC